ATTAAAGTATCTGGAAAGATAATGAGGCAAACTATACTTAGAGTGCAATAGTCTTTTAAAAAGTTCATCAGTCCTATATGTCTATAATCCCAAATCAATAACCCCATGCTTAAGAAGCTCTAAAAAGTCAAAAAATATTTATAAATTTAGAATCAAAAGTTTATTTGGTAGCAAAACCCAATTAAGACTGTTGTGAGGTTAACTTTGGTCAATTATCTATCTGATGTAATGTGAACATTCATGTTTCACTGAAGAAATATCATGAACATAATTGCATGATGGTGACCCTGATCCCACTTGTATTATTACATAATATGTATGTATACACTATATTACTTTTCTAAAATCCAAATTCTACATTTCAAAACACATCTGACCCCCAAGTAGATCTGTAACAGATTCTTGATTATTACATCTATTTGGATAGAACTGAAAAAGCTAATTCTGAAGACCTGATTCAGGGGCATGAAAAGAAGGCCACTCAATAAAGACAAAATACTTAATATACAACATACTTAGAATACAAAGAAAAACACTTTTAAGTAAACATATCTTATGTTAAATAACTCAAATCAACAAATATAGTTAATACAATTTCACTATGCTGCACATTCTCACATTGCTGGATGTCATGAAGGGAAAATTAAATATTCCATATTCACCTCAAACTCTAAAACACAAATCTAATCACATCATTCTTAAAACCCAAAATATCTTTGATTCCTCTCTCACATAAAGATAATTGAGGCTATTCAATCTTTTTATTTTATTTTACTTTTTACATTTGAATCAGATGGGATATAATTTCTAATTTTTCTGAGTGTACAGTTTGCAGAATCACATTGGTCGTACAGGCACGTATAAACACACAGTATTAATAATGCCTATTTTATTCTAATAGATATATAATTTTTGTATGAAAAAGGTCAACTTTTGTGTCTCCTACTTGAAAAATAGGTAATACAAAAAAGCTATCACAAATTCAACCACACATTCATTTGTATTTTATTAACAAGGGCTGTATATGCTTACATTCATAAATAATAGTTCACATAAGTATACAACATTACTGAGCCCAAGACCTTTATTCAGACATACAATCTCAGACTCCTTGCAGTGACTCCAAGGCCCCAAGTGTTCCATTCCAAGATCTACAGGATGGAATTTACTGACTATTCCTCAGCTTAGAAATCAAAGCTTCATCAACTGGGAAAGCTTGCATCCTCTGCCTTATAATTCATTATAATCTTCAAACACTATATTCATGAATTCAATTCAGTAATTTTTAACAATTTTACAACCTACTCTGCATATCTCTATTTTTAATGTGAAAGAAATCAAGGATTAACAAAATCACCAATGAGTTTACAAATTTATATAAATCCTCTAATTATTTTTTAAAAATATCACACTGTGTTAAATGTATGTTAAGAGAAGAATTATAAATAGTGGCTGGGGTTGTAGCTCAGTGGTAGAGTGCTTGGTTGCCTAGCACATATGAGGCACTGGGTTCAATCCTCAGCACCACATTAAAAAAAAAAAAGAAGAAAATGAAGTTTAAATTTTTTTTAATTAAAAAAAGATTTATAAATAAAATGTGATGAAAAGTTAAATAAAGGAGTAAGAAACAAGAGTTACAAATAAAGTACCATAAAGGATAAACAAGAGACTATCAAAGAAAAAAAACACTTTCATAAAAGGAGCAAGGTACATTATGAGCAAGACACATTTATTTACTAAAGATTTACTGCAAAAATACATATAGCATTAGAAATCATGACAATAGGTACCTTGGCAAGGTTGGACTTATGAAAATTCATGCAGCTTATATGTGTAATTTATAACTTATTATAATTTATGCATTTTGCTGAATCTGTTATCTATTAATGAAATTTTCCCCAAAAATATTGAGTTGGGGCCAAATATGAATTGGCCTTTAACTAGCTCTGACCTTGTGTGGTAATTTCCCTTTGTTCAAGCTATTGCCTCTTCTCAAGAAACCCTTTTATTTGTTTATATACTGATCCAGAAAAATCGAAATTGCTTTCACTGCAATGATGAACTTGAAAATAATTCAATGAAATGACGGTGTTTAGATGGATGGAACAGACTGTAACCATTCCAGCATTGTAATTCCAGGAATAACTGCAAATTATTCCATTCCTAAACCAGTAATCCATTGCTATAATGCATCACCATTCATGGTTTAAAAAGAATATATGATCACGAATATAAAATCTGACTTGGTTCAACTGGTTGGCTCTTCTACTGGTATTGCCTAGGTTTTCATGTGAATTCACTCATCTGAAGGTCCAACTGTAGCTGGCAGCTGGATGGTTTCAATCATATATCTGTCACCTCAGAGGAGAATGCAGAACAGCTAATGATTAAATGAGCATCTCTCTCCATGTGGTCTCTCCAGATGGGTTGCTAGACTTCTTTTCTGGTGTCTCAGGATGGTTAAGAGGCAGTACTCCAAAATAGCAAGTTACAATGTACAAGTACTCTTTATTAAGCCTTGCTCATATCTCAATGGCTGAAGCAAATCAAATGATAAAGCCCAGGTCAATATGAGACGGATGGGTATGAAACCTAGCAGATGTGACTAACTGGAACAGGCAAAGAAAAGCAAAATTATTTACCCTTCCAAAGCCTTAGTGTTCTCAGACTGCAAGGACTATGTGAAATAAAAAATGTGATGTATTAGGTAAAGTAGCTAGAACAAACACAGCAGATAGAAGAGTCCAATAAATGTTAATTCCTTTTCCTTCATTTCTTCATCTCCCCCTCACAAAAAACTCCCCTCAAGAAAGAACCTTAATGATGAAATCATGTTTAATAATTTCTTTATGCATATATTTGCAACTGTAACCATGGACCTTTTGGCTGAACACAATAGGAACTCAGACACTTCTAATTAAGTATAACACAGAGGGGAAAATATATTCATTTCCGAAGGCTACTGTAACAAAGTACCATAAGTTAGTGCCTTAGCTCACAGTTCTGGAAGCCAGAAGTTTAAAATCAAGTTGTCTGAAGGGTCATGTACATCTGAAGATGCTAGGGAAGAACCTGCTCTATGCTTCTCTCCTGGCTTCTCATAGCCTCAGGCACTCCTTGGCATTTAGATGAATCATTCAGATCCTGTGTCCCTGTCTTTTCAGTCTAAATTTCTTTCTAGTATGGGCACCAGTCAGAATAGGGCCCTGCTAATGACCTCATTTTAATTTGATTACTTCTAGAAAGATCCTATTTTCAAATAAGGTCACACTGAGATACTTGGAACATATATTTAGGAAGAGACACAATTCAGCTCCTAACACATGAAGTATTTTCTTTCAATCCCTCCATAAGTAGTCTGGCCAAAGTTAACTAGCTGAACTATACACAAAGTTGGAAACTGTAACATCAACAATAACAACAACTCAGCAACAGAGCGGACAGCTCAATCAAAGCAGCACTTCTACAAGGCTTCTGGAACCTGAGCTCTGTAGTCCAGGTGGGCAGCAGTAAAGACTCAACTCTAACTACTGTTACAGCTCAAAGTCTCAAAACAATGAAGCCAGTAGAATAGAAATGGTAATTCTCCCACAACATTACCTCTGCAGGATGCTGAGGGCTGAGCTGTGATGTTCCAACTTGACTTGTCAAGACCCTATTACTTGGATCTTAATATATCACTTTGAGACCTTCTCATCGCTGTATAACTTATTTCCTTCAGAACAAGTACTCTCTACTACCAAGATCCATAAGCAGTTATACACAGTTTTACCATAACAGTGTTATATTTTTCTAATAGCATCCTAATTTTACTGATTAGCTGACAGGATTTTCAGCTTCACAAATGATGATCATGATGGTAACAATCAACAACAGAGTAAAATTCCAGAACATCATTATAGTAGATCCATCAGTCTTAGATCTGCAGATGGCCAGGTCTAATTTGCAGATGTTGGTTAGTACTTCTAAAATTTTTGAGTACTATTTCAGTAGAAATAAAGGTTCAGAAATGTCTAAATTTTCTTCTGGAAAGTAAATGGAAACTGGACCACTGAGATTTGAGTATGAAGGGAAATGTGGTCACGTTTGTACTCTCCAGCCTCTAAAGCCTGAGATGTTCAGGTTACACCCTGTTTCATTCAAGAATCCATCAGTAGAATCCTTTAAGTAGCTTTTTAGTTCCATGTAGAATTTTTCAGTCATCAAAAATTAGATTTCATACAACCTAAAAATTAATATATATTTCTTAAGTAGGGTATAATTAGGTTCTAATTACCCAAGGAGGTTTAACTACATATGGATGCAGAAGTAGTATTTTATTTTTATATTCAGTCTAAGAATCTGTACAAAATATAACAGAGTAGATATTTCCTCTTCAAATCAGCATGGATATAGATGGCACTATTATTTATAAAAGATTCAAAATGTCCTAAATAATCTGGGGATTATTGAATAACTAATGTTTATAAATGGAATATTTCACAGTAATTAAAATTGTAAAAAATATTAAATGAAGTGAAAATGCTTACAATATCACATTAAACATACAAAATAGAACATAAAACTATATACATAGTATGACTGCAATTTTATTTAAAGAGAGGTAAGCAGAGAGAGAAATCAAGAAAAAAACATAGAAAATCTTGAAGAAAATGAAAAACATAACAAAATGTGAAAATTCATCTCTAAGTTGCAGGGTTATAAGAAATTTATACTTTCTTTCAGGAGCTTCTCTGTTTTATCCAACTCTCCAGCAAGAGATATATTTTCACAATCAGAGAAAAATATCATTTTCTAAATTACCATAATAATTTCAGCTCATATATTACAAAAAAGAGGAAGGCCTCCTCACTAAGCAAAGAAGCTTTAAATTCAGAAGATACAAACTTCCACAAAAATTATTTTATTAAAAAGACAGAAACCACATAGAAATATAAGGCTAATAAATATAGTTTTGTGTTATTCCTAGGATGCTAAAAATTACTGCTAGACAACTAGTAGAAATAATGGAATCTTTGATAGCACGGATAAATTAAAGGCTACCGAAGGTGCCCTCTAGTATTGACACTTATTCACATTAAGCTAACTGTGAAGGAAGCAAACACACACCATCATTATTTTTGTCCAGACTCTTAAATGCCAGCTTCATTTTTTTCTCATGGTCTTCAAGGTACCACACAAATTCTTCAAAGTCCAATCCTGAATCCTGATTGGCATCTCCTGCCTTAAGAATATCCTACAAAAGTAAAGAAAATCGTTGTAGAAGTATATTATAAGTCAAGTCACCATACCCTGTGAGCATTTGTACATTTCACTTACAGTAATTATGATTGCCATAAGCATCCATTATCTATGTTTTCTGTCACAACTATAAAGTACATTAAGAAATTTTTAAATCTGTGTATCAAGTGGTATTTTTTAAATTTGTGCAATAGTAGAGTCAATAGCCATTGTGTCATCTCAAATAATGATGAACTTTAATAAATAAGTATTTGCCTGAGTTAAATAATGAATGTCAAGTACCTCACAGGAATAAACATAACACATAGCCTTTGCCATCAGGGATAAAATGTGAACTACATGTGATAAAATATGTGGAATTCTAGTATATCCCCTAGCTTAATGGTTTGAGACCTAGCCTTGTAAAATAAGAATGGGAGCTAGATACTGATGGTGTCTATTATAAAATATGGTATCCATAGGCCCTTAATTTTAAAAATTATGTAATTCATAATTAACTTTTACTGAATTGAAAAATAAATACCATGAGCTGAGAACTGGACTTGTGCTAGGATAAGAAAACAAGTCAGAGGCAAGTTAAGACTGAAACAAACAACCCATTACTGAAGACAATATGTTAGGTGACATAATGGGAATATATTCAAGGTACAGAAAGGTTTGGAGAGGTTCTGGAGAGTCTTCACAGAGGAAGACTGCTTGAGCCAATACTTGCAAAGAAAAACAGGCATTAGAACAATGAATCCAAGAATTTGTGACAGTACTTGCATGGAGGCAAAACAGATGCTAATTAGAAAAAAACATGGAATAATAATAACAGTGGTGATAATAAGTAATATTTGTTGAGCATTTACTTCTAAGCACCTTATATGTATAAACTCATCTAATATTCATAACAAACCCTGTATAGTTCCAATTTGCTAAGGAAAAAATACATAGAAGAAAAATAGATCAGAAAAGCTGGGGAGAGACCATGAGAAGGCTTATATGCCACAAAAAGGATTTCAAATTAATTCTCCAGGTCAGTAATTCCCAGTTAGTAGGATACATATAGTATATAATTGAAAATTGTGTTAAATTGCACTAAATCACAGGGTAATAAAATTATTCCTCTTTCAATTATCTTTCAATCCTTGTAATCATATCATGGAAATTATCTCAAATTTGTTATAATATGCCTCGAAACTTGACAACATTTCACAGAAAAAAATCAGAGGGGATGCCTCTACTTCATTAGACAATATGGTATTTCATCACAATTTAAGAATACTAATTTATTTTCAGTTTATTTATTTTATGCTTACTTTTAATCTACTGGCTTTCAACTTATTCCAGAGACAATGTTTTGTGTTAAAATTAATTCTTGTGAGTGATGTCATCAAGGTGATGAAATAAAAAGCCTCAGGTTCCCCTCTCTGCCACCAGAAACTTCAACTAGCAACTAGTCATAGATAAGAACATCTTTTTTGAAATCCCTACTACTTGAAAGCAAGCTTGGAACACCTGCATGGCTAAATGAAAACTGAATTAGAAAGTAAAAAGAACAGTCTCACTTCAGGTATGCTGTCTCTTCCCCTCCCCCAAGTTGGCACAATGCCAGGTAGAATTCCATTTCTGCAGAAAGAAAAGGGAACCACAAGCAGTCATCCAGCTTCCCTGGTATTCCAAGACACTTACAAGGAAGCCCACTCAACTCTCACCTCACAAGGAACACTGCAGGTAGCAGCATGGCTAGACTACTGAGGGCCCAGTAGGAGGAAAAAAAAAAAGAGGCTGGTACTATAGTAATTAGTGTGTGATTCTTCATGGTATCTCCATGTTACTGCCAGCTATGGCATTTGATCAAAGACAACAGTCAACTTTGATCAAAGAAAATAGCTTATCTGCAAAGCTGAGCTGGGTGTCTTCAGAAACATGGTAAGAAATTCAACCTAGTTTGAGATAGCTGTGCTCCATGCCCAGCCTCAGAGTCCACTCCAACAATCCCATACATGAAGGGAGATGCTTGCCCCTACCCATTTCAAAAAAGCATAGGGGTTAGACCTGATGGACACAGGAAGTCAAGCAGTGGTTCCATTCAGCCAAAAAGCCTCCCCTGCCAGGTGCAGTGGTTCATCATGACTATAACCCCAGAAACTCAGGAGGCTGAGGCAGGAGGATTGCAAGTTCAAGGCCAACCTCAGCAACTCAGTGAAACCCTCAGTAACTTAGCAAGACCGTATCTCAAAATAAAAAGGGCTGGGGATGTAGTTCAGTGGTAAAGCACCCGTGGGTTCAATCCCCAGTATAAAGGGCAGGGGAGGATGGCCTTCCCTAAAACCTTGCCAAGGCAGGGAGAATACCACCTCAAGCATTTTGGAGAGCATAAAGGGCTATACTTGCATGACCTAAGAGATTAAACAGCCACTAACTCAGCCAAAAGCCTACCCCATGGCTCCATCCTACAAGAAGTCAATACTCAATGGTATATTTTCTAAGGAGCATAGCCTCACCTATCCCAAGCAGTGACTCCTCCTAAATTTGGAGCTCAGCATGCAGCCTGTCAACTACAGATCCCAAATGGGGAATTTTCTAGCCAAGGAATACATGCTGTGACTGTCACTGAAGTACTTAGCCAGGAACATAGCCCAACAGCAGAGCAAAGATAGCACTACCAATTAGAGAACCTGAAACAAGCTCTTCCTGCCTAGGGTAATCACCACCTGGTCCTTTCAAAATCACAGGCTAAACTAAATAGTGACCTTCAAAATCACAGGCTAAACTAAATAGTGACCATCTAGTCCCTGACAAAGAACATCTATAAAGGCTAGAAGAGGAGGTTATCTCCTCAAATTCACAAATGGCAATGCAAGGATATAAGAATTACAAAGAATTAGGAAACCATGATACCTCAAAAGAAACCAGCAAGGCTCTGATAATACACTCTATGAAAGTATAGATCTATGAAACGCTATTAGTCACCTTTGCATTACTATAACAAAATACCTGAGGCAGATAATGTATGAAGAGACAGGTTTATTTAGCTCATAGTTTTGGAGATTCAAAAATCAATGATTGAGCACCTACATTGGTTTGGCCTCTGGTGAGGGTGGCAGATGGTGGCACATTATGGCAGAAATATATGTAGAAGAAAACAATCATATCCTAAACCAGAGCACAAAGAAAGAGAGGACAGGGGTCCCACAATCCTTTTTGAGGGAATTTCCACAATGACATAAGGATCTCCACAAGGTCTATCCTCTTAAAGTACCTCCTAACACCTCCATCTTACGGACCAAGGTTTTAACATGTGGACCCTTAGAGGACATTCAAACCACATCCAAATCATAGGAATGACTGACAAAAAATGGAATAATCCTCTTAAAGAAGTTCAGTAAACCACTACAATATATGAATATAAAATGCAATGAAATAAGAAAAACAATATACATGGGCTGGGGCTCAGTGGTAGAGCGCTTGCCTCTCATATGTGAGGGGCTGGATTCCATCCGTGGCACCACGTAAAAATAAATAAAGATACTATGTGTTCATCTACAACTAAAAAATATTAAAAAGAAAAACAATATGCAAAGCAAGCAGTTTGTCAAAAAAATTAGAAACAAGAAAAAAGCACCAAAGAAAACTCTTTGAAATGAATAATACAATGATAGAACTGAAAATTTCAACAGAAAACTTCTACAGCCAATTCAAGCAGAATAAACAATCAATGAGCTGTAAAACAGAATATTTTACATTATCCTATCAAAGGAGCAAAATGCAAAACAACAAAGAAAGAATATAGGAATTATAGGAACCTAATGAGAGACCACAAATCTTCACATAATAGGAGCTGCAGAAAGTGAAGGGAAGAAGAAGGAGAAAGTATATTTAAAGATAATGGCTGAAAACTTCTCAAATCTGTGGGTAGATTCAGGTGCAGGAAGCTCAGAGATCTCCAATTAAATTCAAGTCAAAGAAACATAATAATCAAACTATCAAAAATCAAAAATAAAGAAAAAGGGCTGGGGTTGTGGCTCAGTGGTAGAGCACTTGTCTAGCACGTGCTAGGCACAGGTTTCAATTCTCAGCACCACATATAAATAAGTAAATAAAATAAAGATCTATGAACAGCTAATAAAAAATATAAAGAAAGAAAGAAAACATTCTGAGAATAGTAAGAGATAAGAAATATATTATATACAAAGGAATGTCAAAACAGCTATCAAAATATTTCTCAGCAGAAACCCTGTAGGCCAGCAGAGAATGATATGAGATATTCAAAGCACCAAAAGAAAAAATTGCCAACCAAGAATATTTTCCCCAACAAAGCTGTCTTTAAGAAATGAGGAAGAGACAGGTACACTGGCACAGGCCTGGAATCCCAGCAGCTCAGGAGACTGAGATAAGGATTGCAAATTCAAAGCCAGCCTCAGCAACTTAGCAAGGCCCTAAGCAACTTAATGGGACTGTCTCAAAATTTTATAAAATTGAAAAAAAGGGCTTGGGATGTAGCTCAATAGTAAATTGCCCCTGGTTCAATCCCTAGTACCAAAAAGAAGAAGAAATAGAAATAGAAATAAAAGCTAAGGAAGTTCATCACCACTAGACCTGCCTTATAGGAATTTCTAAAGGAAATTATTTAAGTTGAAACAAGAGACTGCTAATTGATAACACAAAACAAGAAAAATAACTCAATGGTATAAATGAAAAAGAGCCATATTCAGAATATTCTAGGACTGTAATGATGGCATATGAAGCAATATTGACTCTAGTAAAAGGGCAAAATATAAAACTATTAATAACAACCATAGCTAAAATAAATTATCAAAGGGTACACATTATGAAATGATGTAAATTCTTACATCAAAAACAGAATTGTGAAGAGTGGAGGAAAACTGCAGAGTTGTTGTATGCAATCAATGTTAAACTATTATCAGCTTGACCTAAACTATTGTAAGACTTTCGTCAGCCCCATGTTAACCACAAAAAAAAAAAAAAAAAAAAATGTATGTTTAGTAAAAGAACAAAACAAAAATAGAAAGGATTCAAAGCATACCAGTACAGAAATGATCAAACTGCAAAGGAAGACAATGAGAGAGAAACAAAGTTTTAAACAACCAAGAAACAACAAACAAAATGACATTAGCATGTCTTGCCTATTAATAATGTAAGTGGATTAAATTATCTAGTAAAGACACAGAGCATCTGGGGGGATGGGATGATTAAATGAATTCTAGATAGGGCAAAGGGGAAGAAGGGAGGGAGGGGAAGGAAGAGGGCATAGAGGTAGGAAAGATGGTGGAACGTGATGGTATTCATTACCCTAAGTACATGTATGAAGACACAAAGGATGTGACTCTACTTTGTGTACAACCAGAGACATGAAAAATCGTGCTCTACATGTGTAATATGAATTGTAATGCATTCTGTTGTCATATATAACAAATAAAAAATTTTAAAAAATAAATTTTAAAAATATTAATAATCAAAAAAATTAAGATCAAAAATGTCTTTTCAATCAAAAGGATTGAAATCATGAAGAAATGTTATTAAATTGTATTGTAATATGTGAAATAGAAAAAAAAATAGATTTTAGGAAATTATGAAGATTCATATAAGTTAATATAAAACATTTCTAGTGTTTTGAGGCATCTCCATTCTGCTTCCCAGAGTGACTGCAATAATTTGTAGTCCCACAACAATGTATCAAAATGAACTCAACTTTTATGTACCTTTTCTGCCACATCTTCACCAGCATTTATTATTGTATTCTTGATCACTGCCATTCTGACTGGAGTAAGATGACATTTTAATATAGTTTTGATTTACATTTCCTTAATTGTTGGGGAAGTGGAACATTTTTTCATATACTTGTTGGCCATTTGTATTTCTCCTTTTGAGAAGTGTCCCTTTTGTTCTTTTATCCACTTATTGACTGGGTTTTTTGTTTGTTTGGTAAACTTTTTGAGTTCTTTATATTCTGGATATTAAACCCCTCTAAACAGAACAGTTGACAAAGATTTTCTCCCATGCTATACGCTGTCTCTTTGTGCTCTTACTAACTTCTTTTGCCTTGTAGAAGCTTTTCAATTTGATGCTATTCCACTAATAGATTCTTGGTTTTATTTCTTAAGCTTTAGGAGTCTTGTTAAAGAAGTCAGTGCCCACATCAATATGTTGAAGTGTTGACTTTGTTTTCTTCTGGAAGGCACAGAGTTTCTGATCTAATTCCTAAGTCTTTGGTCCACTTTATTTGATCAAAAATAGGGATCTAGTTTTATGACTGTTTTTTTTAAAGACTTATCTATTTGTTGTCTACTTAAGACACCCCACTTTTAAGGACACCCATAGACTAAAAGTGAAAGAATGGGAAAATATGCTAAATGCAAACAAAAACAAGACAAAAAGGCAAAGATATCTATCAGATGACATAAACTTTAAGTCAAAAATTATAAAAAGAGACAAGGATATTAAGTAACAACAAAGGGGCCAACCAATCAAGAGGATATAACAATTAAAACATTCATACAACACTGAAGCACCTAAATATATAAAACAAATATCAAAGGATCTGAAGGGAGAGAGAAAGTGCAATTCAATGATAGGGTTTATACCTCACTTTCTATATTGAACAGATTACCCAGACAGGTAATAAATAAATAAACAATTGAGCCTGAACAATACTTTCAACCAAATGGACCTAACGGATATATACAGAATATTTCATTCAACAACAGCAAAATATTCATTCTTCTCAAATACAAATAGAACATTCTCCAGGATAGATTCACATGTTAGGGCACAAATAAGCCTTAGCAAATTTAAGAAGACTGAAATAATGTCAAGTATTTTTTTTTATATTCACAATAATAAAACAATAACAGAAGGAATTTCAGAAAATTCACAGAACAGGTAAAGTTAAACAAACTAATGTTCCTTTAACTAGACTAAGAGAGAAGAAATGCCATGAATAAATGAAATCAGAAATGTCAGAGAAAATATTACAACTGTACCAAAAAATTACAAATGATGATACTATACAAATGAGATTCTATAAACATTATATGCCAACAAGTTGGGTATCCTAAAAGAAATAGGTAAATTCCTACACAATCTACCAAGACTGAATCATAAAGAAATTGAAAATCTGAATAGACCAATAATGAGTAAAGGTATTTAATTTGTATTAAAAAGGGGACCCTGATGGCTTCACTTTTAAAACACTTTTTATTGGTATGAAGGATTAGATCCAGTGGTATTCTACCACTACATTGCTAGTCCTTCTTATTTTTTGAGAAAGGGTCTCACTAAATTGCTTAAGCTGAACTTGAACTTGTGATCTCCCTGCTGTATTCTCCTAAGTCACTGAGATCATAGGCATGTGTTGTCATATCCAGCTGCTACCAAATGTTTAAAGAAGAACTAATACTAGTTGTTTTCAAACTCTTACATGAAATTGGGACCTATCTTATTCAAACCATGTACAAAACTAACTCAAAATAAATTAAAAACTTAAACATCAGACCTAAAGCTATTAAACTACAAAAGAAAACACACAATAAAACTATATGACATTGGACAATGATTTCTTAGATTTGGTTCCAATAGGGCAGAAATTACCATTAATCCAGCAATTCTCTTTCTGCACAAACACTAGAAAGAGTTAAAGGCAGTATCTCAAAGAGATATTTATGCACCTATCTTCACAGCAGTATTAGCCACAATAATAGTATTAGCCATAATAATATATATTTAAATATATATATATGTGTGTGTGTAAAACGCCAAAAAAAAAAAAACCTAACAAAACACTAAATAACCTAATTTAAAAATAAGCAAAGGACTTGAATAGACCTTTCTTGAAAGAACAGACATTTCTCCAAAGAAGATAAACAAATGACTAGTAAGCACATGAAAAGAAACTCAACATCATTAACCATTAAGGAAATGCACACCTGAAATACAATTAAATACCACCTCATACCAATTTGGATGGCTACTACTTAAAAAAAATAATGTCAGCAAGCATATGAAATTTGAACACTTTTGTACCACTGGTGGAAATGTTACATGATATAGCTACTATGGAAAATTTGTCTGGCAGTTCCTCGAAAAGTTAAATGCAGTATTACTATTAATCAGCAATTCCATTTCTGGGCATATAAGTGAAAGAATTAAAAACAAGATCTAAAAGAGATATTTAAACACCTAAGTTCAAAGCAGTATTAGCCACAGTAACCACAACACAAAATAACACAAGTGTCCATCAACAAATGAATAGGTAAAATGCGGTATATGCATACAATAGAACATTATTAATCCTTAAAAATGAAGGAAATTCTGGTTTTGCTACAACATATCTTGAAGACATTATGGTAAGTGGAATTAGCCAGTCACAAAAAAGACAAATATGTATGATTACATTGATATGAGATATTTAGGAGTAGTCAAAATTAAAGAGGCAAAGAGTATAATGCTGGTGGTCAGATTTAGGGGACAATTGAGGAGTTATTGTTTAATGGAATTAGAGTTCCAGTTTTGTAAGATGAAAAGAGTTCTAGAAATGGATGGTGGAGATTATTGAACAACAATATGAATTATTTAATACCATTGCACCGTATACTTAAAAATGGTTAAGGTGGTACATTTCGTGTTATGTGTATTTTACACTACAAAACTGAAAAATATATAATTAGCACAAAATTAATATTAAACAAATTCAAGGCTCTACAGATTTATTCCCAAAAGATAAATATCAAAATTTAAAAAATTTGTAATGTTGACAAAAATTCTTTTTAAGAACCTGCTACTTGTGATTTTAAGTTTTCTTCTAAGAAACAGGAAAGGACCCCATAAATGTACAACATGACTGTCTCAAAGGTGAGGGATTGTGATGTTCTGACCCTCTTCACCTTTGAAATAAGGCAAATCTCCTTCATTTGAAGGCAGTACATATATGAAGACACGAATGGTGTGAAAATACTTGGTGTACAATCAGTGACTTGAAAAATTGTGCTCTATATGTGTAACATGAAATGAAGTGCATTCTGCTATCGTGTATAACAAATTAGAATAAATAATTTAAGGCAGATCTTCCTATGTCTGGCCCCAAAACTAAATAAATAAGAGTGTAGATGGTTTGGACCTTCTTAACAAAACAAAACAAAAATCCTCACTGAGAGAGCTAAAATGGATAGGAGTAACATCTGAAGGTTGTTTAGCATTGATGGAAGGAAAACAAATTTGATATTCTGAAACTTCGGCCTAAATAGTTGTTGAAGTATCAAGTCAAGACCAGCCTAGAGAAGAAAGACATCTGTATTTTAGGCAACATAATAAAACAATCAGCTGAAATGTAAACGCTTTGATTAAAGTCTGACTCCCCTTCAACCTTTGGTGTGGATGTCAGGAAAAAGCAGCTCTGGGACACCCATTGTGCCTACTGTTTGGAGAAGACCTTCAAGCTAAGAACCTCTTGAGAAAAGACAGACCTTACTTTTCACTTATGCACTCACGATGACTGACACCCCACCCCCCCAGATGTTCTGTGCAGGTTCAGTAAAAGTTCAGTGAGTCGCCAGAAACTCACTCGCAATCACACACACACACACACACACACACACACACACACACACAGAGATTTTTGTCCTCTCATCACTGTGTTAAGGCTAAGTGATTCTTTTGATAAGGGTGAGAACCTTCTATACAGAGCTGCGTTATTCTGCGCGATGCTCGCAGAGAGGCCCAACCTTACTTCTTGGGCCTTTGAAAGAGGCTCTGGAAAGGACTGCAAATCGGGCACCACTCTCTGCCCAGAGCCTCTCCAGACTCCCAGAGCTCTCGGTCGCTCACCTTCTCCGACTCCTTGCCAAAGGAGGAGCTCCAGTATTCCAGCCCCTCCTTGAGCTCCTTGATATCCACCACGCCGTCCTCGCTGGGGTCCAAGTCTTCGAAGAGGATCTGGTAGAGGAAGTAATCATCCTCACTCTGACAGGCCGCCACGGGCGGCACGAAGCCCCGCAGCCAGCGAAGCATTGCGGGTCCATTGGCGGCCAGGACCCCCAGCGACTGCGCCACCTACCGCCGCCTCCACGACGCCAGGCTGCCCGGGGCGGCGAATCCGCGCCGGGGCCGTGCCGGCTGCAACCGCCTGGCGGAGCAGTGGCGGTTCGGAGCTGCCTCGGGCCTGGGAGCACGCGCTGGCGGCCTCTCCAACGCCGCTGAGAAGACCCCCTGCGGAAGCTGGGGAGCACAGCGGGTGGGACGCCTGGCCCAGGCGCTGCGGGAGAGTCGTCCCGCCCCGGAAGTTGGAAGTGGAAGCTCCCAGGGCTGCAGCAGCGGGGACCCAGCATGGTCGGCAGGGTAGTGGACGCCCAGCCCAGCGAAGTTTGGGGGACCTTGAAAGAGGCCTTTGGAGATCTACAATCTCCTGGTACAAACTCAGTGTCTCAGCCAAGTGACTGCGGCTGCGAAGCCGAACTGAGGGGTATGAAGCGCGGATCTGCTCCCAGGGGTCAAGGAAGACCAGCACCTAAGGATCTAGACCCCGCTGCCCCTCCCGGTCTGAAGACTGGAGGAAGGAACGCTTGTTCCTGTCCTCTGCCAGTGTTTTTCCTCATCTTCACTTGACACTTCCTTCTTGAGGATTACTCTTTTCAACCACACCACCACCACCTGCCTTAGGCAATTTCCATATCCTGAAATACAAAGGACACTTTTAGATGCTGCCTTCTCCTTTGTCACCACACACCTCTGCCACTCCCTGACCTCTCTTAAGCTCATTCTCAGGTTCCTTCATGGGCCTGTGAGCCTTGAGAACTGTGATAGATGGGCTTCAGGGTTTATATAGAATAAACTAGTTGTGCAACATGTTGCTCTGAAGCTTTGTGCCTTTGGTCTTTGGTCACATCCTTAGAAAACTAGTGATACAGTATAAAGACCAGCCCAGACTAGTGCTTTTAAATTAATTATTTTTTTCTTAAAAAAAAAATCTCGCATTTTGGAACTTTAGATAGGGCAAAGGGGTAGGAATAATGGTAGAATGAGTTAGAAATCATTACCCTAAGTACATAAGACACTAATGGTGTGAAAATGCTTGGTGTACAATCAGTGACTTGAAAAAATGTGTTCTATATGTGTAACATGAAATGAATTGCATTCTGCTATCGTGTATAACAAATTAGAATAAATAATTTAATTTGATTTTAAAAATCTCAAATTTTAGACGGTAGACTAAAAGAGGTCACTCATTTCTTGAAATAACAGGTGTATTTTTGACGTTACTTACTTCATATATATCTTTTTATACCAGACATTTTGCTATGCTAGATATAAAAATAACATTGAACCTGCTGTGAGAGAAGCCCACTATCTAGTGTGCTATAGATTTGTAAACAATGAATTACACCTTAAGTGTTAAAAATGTAGTCAAGAATGGGGTGTAGCTTAAGCAGCTTAGCACTTGCCTAGCATGCAGGAGGACCTAATTCCATCCCAGCACCGCACAAAAAGAAAGAAAAGAAAACAAAGTGCCCAAATTTTATAAAATACACATTAATTCATTTGAATAAGTTTAGAAATTAACAATAGAAAATAATGCTATTAATAAAGCTTTGGAAACTATGTTGGGTGTTTATAATTATAAAAGACCTTTTTTTCTTTAAAAGATAAATAACTGTCAAATATACTATATTGTGGAGCTTATAACATGTAGAAATAAACTGTATGACAAAAAAAGTGAGGGGAAGGAGAACAAGGAAGTATATGGTTAAAAGTTATTTACATTATATATTGAGTAGTCTACATTTTTTAAATGTATATAAACCCTAGGGCAAGGGTAAAGGTAAGTTAAAAGTGAAGAAATAGAAAAAGAAATGCTATGCAAAGACTAGTCATGAGAAAGCCTGAGTTGACTATCTTAATATCAGTCAAAGAAGATTTCAAGACAGGGAAGACATTTTATGTTAGGAGGGTTGACTCACAAAGATTAAGTAAAAATAAAAATTGGTATGCAACTCAATGGCAAAGCTTCAAAATACATGAAGCAAAAACTAATAAACTGAAAAGAGAAGTGATACATTTATAATTAGAGATGTCAATATCTTTCTCACAGAAACTGACAGAATAAACAGAAAGTAACAAGGATACATGAGACTTTAATAACAAGATCAACTAATTGACTTAAAGAACAACTACATGCAACAGCAGAATACCAATTATATCCAGTTGCACATGTAAAATCACTAAGACCATTTACTGGCACATGAAACAAGGCAGTAAGTTTTAAATGATTGAATTCATACAGAGAATAGTCTCTGACCACAATGGAATTAAATTCAAAATCAATTACAAATACCTACTGAGAAATACCCAAATGTGGTGCAATTAAATAATTCAAAATGATAGAGCAAAGAAGAAATCTCATAGGAAATCAGAAAATATTTTTGAATAATTATGAAAGTGTGTCAGAATATAATATAATATGTCAGGATGCAGCTAATGTAATGCCTAGAATTTATTTTATAGTCTTAGATATTTGAATTAGAAAACAAGAAGGTTTAAAATCCATGATCTAATGTTCCATTTTAAGAAACTAGAAAAAGAGCACATGAATCCCAAATAAACAAAAAGAATCAATAGTAAAGATTTGAAATTAATGAAATAAAAGACAAGCTTGGAGAAACTAAAGGAAGCTTGAGAAAACTTGTTAAAACCAAAAGCTAATCCTTTGATTAAATTGATCAACCTATGACTAGACAAATCAAGAACACTTGCCTAGCATTCTCAAGGAACTGAGTTTGATCCCAACACTGCAAAAGAAAATAAAAAACATAAAAGCATAAATTACCAATATTAAGGAGACATCACTACAAATTCTACACATGTACATTACAAATGTCATTATGCCGATATATTTGACAACTTAGATGGAATGGAGACCCTTCCTTGAAAGACATTAACAAAGATATCAGCTCTCTCCAATTTGATCTGGAGATTCAATGCAATACAAATCTAAATCCCAGCAGATTTTTTGTAGAAACTTATACACTGATTCTAAAATTTATATAGAAATACAAAGAATGCCAAATAGCTGAAATAATTTAGAAAAAAGTGGTTTCAATTACATATGGTTAATTGATTTTCAACAGTATTAATTCAATTACATTATTAAAGGATACAATGATGCTAGAACAAGATGCCCATAAAGAAAAAACTGTTCGAACTTGTGCCTTGAAAATACACTATTAAGAAAATGGAACGCTTAGGCAGAGACCAGAGGGGAAAAAATGCGATATGTATATCTAACAAAACACTTGTATCCAAAAATACTAATGCATACAATAAAATATTACAATAATAAATAAATACAATAAAATAAAAAGATGGAATCAAGTTTTTCAAATGGCCAAAAGATCCAAACAGACAATCCACCAAAGAAGAAATAGAATGGCTAGTAAGTATTAGGCAGTCAAAATCTCTAGTCTATATGAAAATGTTAAGTTAAAAACCACCCATAAGTTACAACAGTGCTCGCTTCAGTAGCACATATACCAAAATTGGAATGATACAGAGAAGACTAGCATGGCCCCTGTGCAAGGATGATAAGCAAATTCATGAAGCGTTCCATAAAAAAAAAAGTTTCAACAACATACCCACTAACATGGATAAAATCGAACAGACTAACTATATAAAGTTTTCTGAAAATGCAGAACAACTAAAACCCTAATATATTGCTGGTGAGAATTTAAAGTAGTCACTTATAAAACATTTGGCAGTTCCTCCTAAGTGAAGCATATACTTGGTATATGTTATAGTGTGTATCCCCTCCAAAATTCAGGTATGGCTAATGTGATGGTATTAAGAGGTGATGCCTTAATGAGGAAACTAGGCCATGAGTTCCCTTTCCTTAATGAGAGTAAACTCCTTATATAAGAGGCTTCATATAGCTTTTAGCTATCACTTGCCCTTCTACCTTCTGTCATATAAAGATACTTCCAAAAAGGCCCTCACCAGACACTATATAACAGTGCTTGGATCGCCATAGCTTCTATAACTGTGAGAAAAAAAAATTTGTTCTGTATAAATTACCCAGTGTCAGATATGCTGTTGTAGCAGCACAAAACAGGCTGTCAGTATATAACCAAAGAAATGAAAGTAAGTGTTAAAAAAAAGTACACTAATGTTCACAGCAGCTTTATTTACAATAGCCAAAACCTGGAAGAAACCCAAGTGTTCTTTAACAGATAAATATATAAACAAATTGTGGCATCTTGGAGCAATGGATTACTATTACTATTACTGCTGCTGCTATTTCTACTACTTTTACTACTACTACTGCTACGACTACTACACACACGCACACACATGAATGGGATACTGGTACACATTTGAAGTCAGAATGTGATAGTGGTTACAAAGGCATGTACTTTTGTCAAAACATGTAACACTGTACACTTGAAAGAATATTTTATTAAATACAAATCAAGCTGAATTTAAAAGTTAAGCAACTACTTTTCCCATCCACATCCCGCACTGGCAGTGGGAATGGGGTTCCCCTCGGAAGAATAAGCTGATTGAGAGATAAAAGCTAAGAGAGTACAACAGCGAAAAAACCACAGAACACAGAAGCTGGGGCAGGGGGATGGGGCTGAAGCTGGGGCTGAAGCTGGGGCTCAGCGGTAGTGTGCTTGCCTAGCACATTCAGGGCCCTGGGTTCGATCCTCAGCACCACATAAAAATGTCCAACTACAAAAAACAAACAAACAAAAAACAAGTGGGGCAGGATGGGCAAGCTGATCAGATGGATCAAGCTTCTGGACAAATGGCAACGGGGATGGCACCTGCTTTATTTATATCAGAAAATATCAAAGGCCTTCCATAGAATGTTCTTCTCCAAAAAAAGGGTTAAAGGTGGGCTTTTCATTTTCTAACAGGTTATGCCATCTCCAGAGCTACTATGAGGAACCTTCCTAACAAAGCAGAGGAAAAGGTCACGTACATGGAATCATCTATTGCATGGGAGAGCCACAGAAAGTTCCCAATGCCAGGCCTATCTCTCACTGGCTTCCATTTCAAGAGAAGATCCTCA